CAAAGAACATGTTTCGAATGCCACTTTTGGCTCTAGCTGAAGGCTTAAGCCAAAATGTCACCAAGAAACATGGTCAGCTCAGAAATGAAACATGTGTACCCAGGCCTACCAAACTCGACACATGACTATAAATCTTCACGAACTGCATACCTGGCCCAGCAGCAGCATACACACTATCGACCGGGAGTTCATACAGTAAGACATTGGGGGGAAGCGATGGGAGGGGCCTGCAGCCAAATCGAGCCAGGGGGCTGTAAAACCAATGCTGTCTTCGCGCTGACCAGCAGGTGCGCTTGACAGCCCGTCTCTGCCTGGGCTCCGTGAATCGACACGACATGAGGCTTCAAAGCATCGCACAGAAGTCTTCGCTTCAGCCAGAAGTGCTGCCGTAGCCAAAACCACCACCTCGATGCCATCAGCTCCGGGCACAGTCCAGGACGAGCTTTTTGCATCTGGCTCTGCCATCCTCAGTTCAATCCGAGGCAAAATCTCTCGACTGCTACATGTTGCAGGCTAGTGATTTTCGCAGCTGCACACTTCGACTGGGCAAGTGTTTTTTCGTGGAGGCATCAACTCGGCCAAAGGGTCTGTATCTCCTCAACGAAGGTGCCTTAGCTCAAGGTGCCTGCTCCATTCAAGCATCCGACGACAGTCACCTGACATCACTTGAGATCGGCTTAGTGCCAGGCTGAACAATTTCGAGGCCCGTCTCTGGAGCCGCGGTGCCGGGTCGAAGGTCTGACACGGAGTCTCCCACTAGGTAGGCAAGAGGGTATCACTTCCTCTTTGGACTGGCGGGTAAGTCTGCAGAAGAAGCTATTCACCTAAGACGAAATTACTACATTTCTACTGGGGATAATTGCACCTGTGCAGGCTCCGGCGGCTTCGCGGTCACGGTCTTGCAGATGTCTCGGGGCAGCTCGAAGGAAAAGTCTCGGCCAGCATCCTGATTTCTGAACGTTTCTGGACTGCAGGGCACTGCAGGGTGCTTGCGGCGTTGCTAAGTCCGGTCTCGCCTTCAACCACTGGTTGACACTGGGGTCGTGGAGGACGAACATGAGATACCTTCACAGACTCGACGAGGGAGCACTGGTGGTCTGTCGTTGCCGGCACAGCGCCGAGTGGCTTGTTGAGGTTCTGTGCCTCGATCTTGATCTCACCCTGACAAAATTCCAAGAGCAGTGCCACCTGCAAGAGGCATCTTGTTGCATCCACGAAGCCTTGTAGATGTCTCCGCCGCTGTTTTGCAAGCTCAGCCTGCCCATGCACCAAGCTACGGGCTGAGTGGCAAGGCAGATTTTGCTGTGCTCCAGCTGCAAGGGCAGGAAGATTGCCTGGTCGAAGACGTCCATCGCCGATCGTCCCCTGCTGGGCCATACTGAAGAACCAAGTCCTGAGATGCAAGCAGCTAGTTGGGTTTGGCCTCGGCCGAGTATGCAAGGTGTTTCTTCCACGGGGGGGTGGCCGCCAGCGACACTGCATGCCACGAGCTCGTGCACCCTGGACCCTGCAAGAAAATGATGACAGTTGAGAAGCTCGAAAGGCAGCGAATGAAATGTTGGATGGAGATCTTTTCAGACTCCAAACGGAAAGTATGTCGGGGAAAACCCCACGCTCTGAAGGCAAATGAGTGGTGGCGAGCCTAGAACCGTCATCGCGACCCACGAAGCCCAACCAGAATGCACAAGGCATGTCGACAAATATTAAAGGGAAATGATGCCGAAGATGGCTGAGAAATCTGAAAGTAAATGGTGTTTAAATTCCACAGAGACATGATGGTCGCGGCGAGCCCCTCAAGAAGTATCGGCCCGGGAAGCCCGAAACTATGAAAGGAAAGGACGACCCCAAACCTGAGACCTTGGAAGGAAATGATGCAGGAGTTCATAGGTTCTCCACACAGACGTCCCCGCCATGCCCCAGCACTTGAGATGTTAAACCCCATATCATACCCATGTCTGATCCATATGTTGACAAGGTTCGCGCTCGGAACGGACAATCGCCTGTACATTGCAGCACTCACCTCAGGTCCGAACACTGCCAGAATGCTTGCATGGGCAGTCCACAGCTCGGTCTTCAGGCGCGCAGTCTGGAGATGTGTTGAGCCCCGAGCCCTCCGAAGCTGCTAGAACTGCCACTTCCACGCCGCTTGAGCTGTAGCAGGACACCTGCAAGCTTTTTCACAGCCAATGTTTCGTGGTGTAGCTTAAAGAGCTCCTCTACGCAGGGCCTTTGCAGCTGGATTGGCTTTCGTGGCTTCCGTGACAAGCTCCCGAAAGCCACGGCTGTCAGCCACCTGCCAGGGGATTGCCATACACTAGGGTTTTCTACAAAGATGCAAGGCAAAGCCGTCCTTGGAAAAGTCGAGAAAAAAGTTCCTGGACCCATTCTTGAGCCACCTGAGCAGGACGCTTCAACGTCGGCTCTAGGGCTCCAAGGGTGTGGCGGCCACGGCATGCCATGGCTGGCTCTAGTCTTGGCTCGGGGCATGCTGGGAGCATGCTATAGGTGTGTGCGCCAAGGTGCTCGTTGGGCTTCTTGTGCAGTACGAACTGGCAGCCCTTCCTGAGTTCAGAAGCTCTTTGTACGGCGCGGCTTCACTCTCCAGTTAAAGTTTAAATCAAGTCGTCAAGCGACAAGCATATCCGAAGCCAATGGTGCACACGAAGAACTTCTACCTCTACCAGACTCTACCAGTATGAATAGCCGCCCGTCTCCATCATAACCCCATGTCCGGATGCTCTGAAAGAAACTGGCGCTGAGATTAGGATCTGGTTTGCAACATCTCTCCACATGTTGAGGCAAGCCTCAGGCCAGCATCAACGTTGATTTCTAAACGTACTTTTCGACCGTTCTGACCATCGGGTGGCGGGAAAGGCGTCTGCAAAGCACCTGTCGGCGATCTCGGAAAAAAGCTAGTGCAAAAGCAGACAGGTAGACAACTCGAGAAATAGACAAATAGATAGATGGAAAGATGGATAGACTGATAGATGGGCAGATAGATAGATGCATAGAGAGAAATAAAGAGACGGAGCGAGACAGCGAGAGAGAGTCTCTAGAAGCGATCTTACTGACGAAAGCCATGATCTACTCCACTACTCCACTTGGCTATGTTTTGCTCCTCTTGACTCTCCCTGCCTGGCACGCGATTGGCCGTTGGCGTCGTTCGTGCCTGGATCTCTACAGGCACGATCCACTCCTCCGCGTGCCTGATGAAGGAGGGAGGATCCAGAGAACACGCCCCGTAGTTCTAGATGCTCTTGGGTGGTGTATCCGACACATCGGTCCGAGAGGCTGCTTGCCGACTCCCCAGTGCAAGAACATGTCTCCGGAACCGAAGCCGGTGGCGGTGATGTCAAACACCATCCAGCCGCCTTGCAAGATGCGTGATATGGCCAGTGCTACATTCAGAATTCACCTACCTACCACTGATGTCCGCCAGCATGAGTGAAACACGGTCGCATGGAATGTTCAGGTCAAGTTCCAGCTGAGCCGCCATCGTCAGAATCTGAGACGACGTCCACATTCACGGAATGTTTCCCAAGGCTCGCCGAGATCATGGCTCAGATGTTGCTCGAAATATCGGATGTCTGTGCTTGGACGGGGTTGGTTTCTCCGGCTCAATGCCAAGAGTACCACAGCATCTACGACTACGACGACTACGATCGCGGCACTGCAAGGAACCTTCGCAGAATGATTCAGGGAGGCTCGAGGTTGTAACACGAGAAGCGACTCTGTGGCTGATGTCTAGCAATCTCCTCATCTCCTCAAAGCCAAAGCTTCCACATGGTAGCTTCTGAAGCTGCTGGCTATACGAGAATGCGAATCTGGTGCTGCCGCCGACAGTCTCTCATCGAACCGATCCGCCGAAATCGGGCCGTGCTCTGTCAGGCACGCCTTTTGAGGCTCACCTGTTCTGCCTCATCTAACATGAGAGGCCGCGTCCACAAACAAGGGTGTCAAGTTCATGCAGCATCAAGTTCGGCTGCTCGAACCCCAACTTCCAGAAGACTGTGCGTGCTTCAAACGCAGCCACAGACTTTCAGAACGAGGATGGCAACACCTCCAGGCATGACATCCCGATTGAGAAGACAGATGACGAAACAACTTGCTGACCTCTCGCTTCGGGCCTGCATAGCATACACAGCTCAAAGCATGGTCCATTGTATCCTGACGCCAGGCCCTTGTATGAGCTGCGGCAGCACGTGATAGCACTGTCCTTGGAGGGGTGGTACTTCTCTGTCGGGTTGATGTCCAGCAGCTCCACCTCCGTTGAACCCCCGTGCCCACGAGTGGGACAAGTCTTGAGGCGCCTTCGGCAATGGTTCTAGACCCAGTGGCACAGGTCCCATTTCAGGTCCAACACGGGACTGCGATGTACTTTCAGGACCGGTCGAAGTCTCCGGCAGTGAGAGACGAGCGGGGCGATTGGACTGACTTGCTGATCTCAGCTCGCTCGGTTATATACGTCAGCCAGGCTCCGCTACAGACCACTCAGACGAATCCGACGAGTGAGGACCAAAAGTTGGCGACAGATGGCCCTGCAAAGGATACTTTCACATACTTTCTGACAGCATTACTGCAAGTGCCTCGAACACCAAGTTAGCGTTCGGTGGGATCACTCCGCGCATTCCAGCCCGTCCATACCTCAGCTCTGTCACGGCAGCTTCGACTCTCGGACATCCGTATGGTCGTGGCTTGGCTTTCGTTTTTCGCTAGCCCCACATCGTGCGGCAAGTCGCGCGAAGTCAGACGTAATCAGCAAGATGGCCTTCTCGCCTTTGGACATTTGCATAACCTCGCCGAGATCAGGCTAGCACCAAGGTCAGCCTGCAGCATTCCATATATTCCATTTTCGACGTGGTCTCCCTGCGTATTCTGATCCGATTCGGCATCGAAGCTGCTATTCAGCCAAGGATCGCCCTCATCCCAACCTCGAATCACCTGCAGGCTGGGCTGCTCTTGGATGCCTGAGAGCCAGGCCCTGTAGGCCCTCTTCCCGCAAGCGCCTGTCCAATGCCAGCTGTGAACTCCAGGGGATCCTTGCCCTGAGAGGAGTCGAAGACCTGTCCACTGCTGGCAAATCTTCCAGTGTAGTGCATCCTTGGTGAACGCACATGAGGCTCATGAAGCGAACACCACAATCAGCCAGGCATCCGAAGCAGGTCCCCTGCTTTGGGAAAGGTTTTGCCATCTCCGGCCTCACAAAATCTCGACTGACTCGTGTGGCTGACTCCGCAGCAGTGGGCCGGCCTTCTTGACCTCCTTTGTCACGCCCATTGCTGTCAGTGCGCGTGGGCTGCAGCTAGTAGCAGCTAGTAACAGTGACCAAATCTACTGATACTGTTGAGTTACTGAGGATGATGATGCCCCCATGTGCCGCATGCTGCCGATGCAAATGCTGTTGAGAAAGCATGTAGGCCCAAGATAAGGCGTAATCTACTTTCTCATCGTCCGATGGATGTCCAATGCGAGGCCAGCAGGCTCATCCTCAGGCATGTAATCTAGGCATCTGAACTGGCTTCTTCCTCACATTTTTCGGCGGAAGTCGCGCGCCTGCGTGCATTGCGTAGACTGGGATCGCCTTCCCCGATGATTCTGTCCTTTGCACTCAGAAAGATGCTTCGGCCGTGTGCAGTAGCGAATTTTGCTACCACCTACCACACCAGCGCAAGATCTTCTGATGAATTCATGTTCACGTCTCGAGGACAGCGTTGGCTATTTATCCGTCAGTGACAGCACCTGCCACATCCGCTCCTGTTGCCGCTTGTGTGACGGTGCGCGAATCATCCGAACAGTCGTCCTCGTAATCGCTGCACTGGTCCAGCATTTCCTCGAGGTTGGAATCGAGGCGTGCCCGCTGAGCTGCTTGTTCAGCAGCTTGCTGCTGCTTCTTTGCTTGCTTAGCTTGAGCTTCTTGCTGCTCTTTCTTCCTGGCGGCTATGTCTTGAAATCCTTTGAGAACTAGCTTCTTGTATTCCACAGGCTGTTGCACCGGATGCAACGTCTTAACTTTTGTGTCCACTTTCGCCCACTGCTCCGCACCGTAGGCAACCTTTCCCAGCACAAGGAGAATCTCTTTTGCGGAGAGATCTGCGTCCATCTGTTGAACTTCTCCCTCCGCGCTCTCCAAGACCTCGCACAGCAACTCGAGGCCCGCCAAGCCACCCTTGGCCTCGTTGGACTCGGCTTCTAACGTGATCTGCGAGACATGCAGCAGCTGAGAGACCAGTGCCACTCTCTTGCGCCGAATCGCTAGGTCGATGGCATCGCGAGCTCGCGCTCCGTGCTTCACAAGGAAGGTCGCCACCGAGATGTAGGACGACTCTCGCGCTGTTGTACATCTCAGAACTTCCGAAAGTGTGTTTTGGTCGGAGATGCCGCGAAGGACTTCTTGGAACCTTGCTTCCCTGTCTTCTTCAGAAAGCGTTTTCGCATCCTCTGCCGTCCAGTGGAGCAAAATCTCCATCTCTGGCACCGAAGAGGAATTCTGACCTGCTTCGACGAGGCGGCTAAGAGGGACGCTCTCGCGCAAAGCCTGGGCCAAGACTTGGCCATGGCTCGCATCGAGCAGCCATTTGAGAACTGAGCCACCCCGAGCAGAGCGGAGCGGCGGCCTCGGAGGATGGGAACCCTTGCAATCTACTCCTTTCATTACTCCTTTCCTCATCTTCATCCATGCCAAGCAGCGAAGATCTGCCGCTGCACAAGATCTTGATCATGCCTTCCGACTTCACCTCACACCAACCGCAAAAGCCAAACGGGCAGCAACACCAGCCATGAGAATGAACTAACCTTGGCACGAAGTCGGATGTGCTGACAAGCATCCATCTCCAGAGGCATTCTCCCGTCCTTGTCTTCCTCATCTACCTTTGCACCGGCTTCCAACAAGAGCTTTGCCTGGTCTTCCAGCTTCCGCTCTACAACCATCATCAGTGCCGATCGGCCGCTCCTTGGCTTGCGGGTAACAGCTCCGTCCCCCGGGTCAGGTCAGCCCTCTGCCACGCAGGAGGAGTTCTTTACAAGCCTTTGTGAGGTCAGAATAAAAGTTGAGCTCAACCAGGCATGCGTCTTGTCCTTTTCGTCCAGCTTCTGGCTCACCTCACAAGTTTGTCACAGAGCGTTTCACAAGAAATCTTCACCATTGCTGTTTGCAAGAACGGTCTCTGCGGGCAGGCCATCCCTGAGCCAATGTGTGCATCTTGAACTTCGTCGTCTCGACTCTGGAGTAACCCATTCTGTGGATACGGCTTTCTGTAGTCTTCTATACTCTATACTATAATGCTGCACTCTCACTCACTTGTTGCGTCTTGACAACTCCTCCCAAGCTACGGTAACCCATTGATTTGGCACAGACGTGGCCCCATCTATCAACACTGACGGTGCTTGTAGGTTCCGTATTTCTCTTGGGGGACGGATTATAATTATATGTGGCAGCTACAAGTACAATTATAGCAGCTATTGACAAGCGTGTGGCGCGCAGCAAGCAGGTCGGAGCGAGTGTGACATACGCATGGCTGCAATGCTGAGAACTTCTTGCAATCAGGACTGCCAGGCCATCGACGGTGAACCTTCAAGGTGATTGCAGCAGGCCTCCTGCGACCACGACCCGGGGCTCAGGAAGACCTCCACCACCCCCGCAGCAGCTGAGCCTTGCTGTATGGCGAGCCTCAGCGCAATGCAGAGCGGACGGCTAGGCGGAGGGGGGTGGCAGCTCTGGGCCGCAAACACTGATAGATGTAGGTGAGCGAATGTGATGGGCTCGCTGTGTGCTGTGTTGCGAACTGAATAACAAAAGCTAAGCCTGCGCTGAACTACGCATGGCAAAGCTGGTCCCTCAACACAACAAACAACAACGTCTCTGAAACGGTTGTTTGCTCTGCTGTCTGTTGTACTGACCCCTTGAGGAGGGGGGGACGGCCGTCCCTCAAGGTAGGCGGCGGGCACCCCACCCAATCGAGAAGCGGCCTTCCTTATTTACCAGGCAATAAATCCAAACCAAGTCTGATGTGTTTCCCTGGCTTTTTGCACAGAGTGCTCAGAACAGGGTACTCCTCTTCGCTTCAACAAACTATCGTATGCTGTGGTACCCCACGTAACTGTATCTCCGCTTCTATCCGTCCTTTCTTTTCTGCGCACTCGGGGCTCGTCCCATCCCTGCACGCGGCGCCGATGGGGAGCGCAGGACAAGCACAACTATGTGCCTTGATGGGCTCCACAAGAGTTTACGCTTGGCTTAGCATAGCACTGACGATTTGGCAATGTTTTATGCCTTGTTTCTTTACACGTTACTCTTGTGGGACCAGTCTGCGCCTTATGTCAAACTGTTTGTTGCCTAGTAACTGAGCTTTATAGTCTAATGCGGGTGCCAGAGCAGAACATCAAAGCAACTCTGGATTATGTCTTGGTGCAGAGCCTCTTGGTCCCGTGGTGGAGAGCTCAACTGGGCACCGAGCATCAAAGGAGTGTGGCCATCTTTGTTCTTTGGCATCGGGTTGGCCCGGGCTTCCAGGAGGCGCTTAACGACGGTCGCCGCCATATGCCCGGCAAACCTCGGAAT